CCGGAAACTGGAGGGAGCTTCTCGGCCGGTTTTCTTCCGTGGAGTTGCGACTGTCTGCATGAAGCTGTTCAACATTGTCCATGCCGACCGGGCTTACTTTGGTCAGAAGGACGTGCAGCAAACGGTGGTCATCAAGCGTCTTGTGAAGGACTTCTACATCGATACGGAGATCAAGATCGGGGACACTGTCCGTGAACACGATGGCTTGGCAATGAGTTCGAGGAACGTTTACCTTGGCAAGAGAAGACGGGCAGTGGGTCTGGTCCTCTACGAAGCCATGAAGGCGGCGGAGAATGCCTACAACACTGGCAAGGTCAACCGCAGTGAGATTCTTGACGCTGCGAACAGCGTCACTGAACGGGTTCTGTCTGAGCAGAAGGCCTTGGCGCCCACGGAGAGGGCTCTGTATGAAGTTGACTACATCTCTCTGGCTGATCCGGATACTCTGGACGAGCTGGAAGTTGTTGACCCCGCCAAGGGCGCCATTCTGAGTGGCGCGGTGAAGATGGCTCCGCTGGAGGAGGCGAAGCCTGGTGAGGACTGCGGCCTCGGTGATGGTCAAGTTGCTGTGCGTTTGATCGACAACTTGATCTTCAAGCCGCGGGTTTAAAAAAGCTCGTTTTGTCTGTCCGTTGCCCGATCCATTCAAAAGCAAATGTCATATACCCGACGTCATTTAACTAGAACTCAACAGCGTATATAGAGTACCTAAAAGTCCATACCTTTACATACAATAAAAGCAATCATATACACTACTTCAAACCACCTAATTAACCCCATAACTACCCCCCTCTCGAACATCTAGCTATCACCCAAAAACAGAAAATAGGGCAAGATCGCAGGGTTTCGGAAGCACCCCGGCCCGAGAAAATTTCCCTCTGGAGTAAAGTAAAGTTTCTTCCCGGATCGACCCAGTACTAGAACCTCCCCCAGCAAACAACAAAAACGGAAGAAGAAAAAAGAAAAAGAAAGGCAGGCAGGCACCTACCTACCTACCTACCTAACATCTTCCAAAATGGCCGACGACGGTCTCCTCCTCAACTTCACCATCCCCGACACAACCGTCCTGAAACCCGAAAAAACCAAAGTAAAAGGCGGCACATGGCGGGACCGACTCAGCGCAAAGAAAATCGCGGCGCACCGAACGAACAACCCACGCAAAGAGAAATCTTCCACAGATGGCGAGCAGCAACAAAATAGCAACCCTCGGAACCCGAATCGCATTCAAGTATCTGGTCCGCGGCCGGTGAAGAGACAGCGCATTGGTGACGATGAGGAGAATGGAGGATCGCAACAACCACGCCAGCAGCAGCAACAACAACACCCGGGAGGTCCCCGACAGGTCGTATCGTCGCTTTTCTCGAAGAACCCGAGGCCCCGAACCGCTTTCGAAGCGAAGAAGAACGGAGCCGAAGAAGAGGAAGACGCCAAGCCGACGAACGCGCCGCTGATTGATGGACTGGACACATTCACGAACCTGGGACTATCGGCACCGCTGGCGGCGCATTTGCTGACGAAGCTGGAGGTGAAGGCGCCGACGGCGATTCAGAAAGCGAGTATCACGCAACTACTGAAGGAGGAGAGCGATGCGTTTATACAGGCGGAGACGGGATCCGGAAAGACGATGGCGTATTTGCTGCCGCTTGTGCAGCGGATCATGACGATTTCGCTGAATCAGAAGAAGAGGGAGGAAGGGGAGCAAGTACAGCGCGATAGTGGGTTATTCGCTATTGTGTTGGCGCCGACGAGAGAGTTGTGTAAGCAGATTTCGGTGGTGTTGGAGGGGTTGTTGCGGTGTGCGCATTGGATTGTGGCGGGGACGGTGATTGGAGGAGAGAAGAAGAAGAGTGAGAAGGCACGGTTGAGGAAGGGGTTGAACATTTTGGTTGCGACGCCGGGTCGGTTGGCGGATCATTTGGAGAATACGCAGGCGTTGGATGTGAGTAATGTGCGGTGGTTGGTGTTGGATGAGGGAGATCGGTTGATGGAGTTGGGGTTCGAGAAGGAATTGGCGGGGATTATTCAGAAGCTGGATGCTAGGCAGCGGCCGAGTCGGATTCCTGGGATTCCGGCCAAAAGGACGACGATATTGTGTTCGGCTACGTTGAAGATGACGGTGCAGAAGCTGGGAGAGATCAGTTTGAAGGATGCGGTGCATATTCAGGCGGATCCGGCGGATGAGGATGGTGAGCCGAGGAAGAAGGATGAGGATGATGCGTTCCGGGTACCGGCACAGCTGAAGCAGTCGTATGCGATCGTTGCGTCGAAGCTACGGCTTGTTACGCTTACGGCGTATATGAAACGGACGTTTATGAGGAAGGGGTCTGTCATGAAGGCTATTATCTTTGTGTCTTGTGCGGACTCTGTGGACTTTCACTTTGAAGTGTTTACACGGAAGAATGGAGATGAGGAGGAGAAAAAGGAAGAAAGCGAGGATAGTGATGAGGAGGATGCAGAGGAGAAGAGGAAGCAGCTTGGTGCTTCGGCTCATGGAACTATCGCGCCTGCTACGGCCTTTTCGAATCCCTCCAACCCGGTGACGCTGCATAGACTGCACGGTTCTCTGCCTCAGCATGTCCGGACGGCCACCCTGGGTGCCTTTGCCCGCAACCGCGAACCCTCCGTGCTTATCTGTACTGATGTTGCGTCCCGTGGTCTGGATCTGCCAAACGTTGATCTGGTCGTGGAGTACGACCCTGCCTTCAGCGCCGAGGACCATCTGCACAGAATCGGACGTACTGCGCGTCTGGGACGTGACGGTCGTGCACACATCTTCCTCATGCCTGGCTGTGAGGAGGGTTACGTCGACATTCTGAAGAAGGGATACCGTGACGGCGGAAAGTCGCTGACACGCAACACCGCGGACGACATTCTGAAGCGCGGATTTGGAGGAAACGTCGAGTCACAGAACGTAGACTGGGAGGAAAAGGCCACCGAATGGCAGCTGGATGTGGAACGGTGGGCATTGGAAAACAAAAACTACCTCGAAATGGCCCGCCGAGCTTATCAGTCCCATATCCGCGCCTATGCCACACATATCGCCAACGAGCGCAGCATGTTCAACATCAAGGAGCTTCATCTCGGACATCTGGCGAAGAGTTTCGCTCTGCGTGATCGTCCCAGCAAGATCAACGTTCCTGGTCTCCGCCAAGGACAGGCCGACACCAAGAAGGACTTCAAGGCCGACCGCAAACCAGTCGCTGGAAAGAAGAGAAAGGCAGGTGGCCACGATGACGACGACGATGATGCTCCTCGTCAAACCGACACTCTCACGGCAGCTCAGAAGATGCGGGCCAAGATGAAGGAGCACATGGCGGGAGCAAGCGAGTTCAATCTTGCTTGATCAGCAACACACATGTAAATAGTAATTGACGACAAATCAATAGATATCCCACAATGAGATTTTTCCGTCCTTTGACCCAGCCGCTAGCCAATGTGTATTTTGCACCTTTTCGTATCTCTGCCGATGCACCGTTGCAAGCGAGAATTCCGTTTCTGCCCGGCTGGCGAGCTGTGTTTCTTCATTCTCACTGCTATCCGGCGAAACCGTAGGCTTTTCCTCATCCGATTTCTTCTCACGCACATCGACTACATCAACATCCGCAAACGCCACAGCGTAGCAACCATCTTTATGCCACTTCAAGACGGCTAGTTCCTTCATCGTCTTGCACGAGTAGACCCTGACCCTAGAATCCCACCCCGCAGTCGCGAAAATCTTCCCATCAGACCGTATCCGCACACCTTGCTGGCCCGCATGCTTCGTGTTGATCGACTTGATCGGCAATTCTTCTGGGGCATGTCCTGGGCTACCCAGCGTCGGAATGGGATGCTTCGCCAGCACCGCATCGGCCGAGGAAGAAAAGAAGTAATTGCCAGCAGGCGAGACATGAAGCGACAACACCGGCTGCGAATGTGCCCGACATATGTACAGCTTCTCCCACTTCCACGGTGTTTTGGCACTCTGTGTCAGGTCTTTCTCATGCAGAGATCCCCTGCAGCCATGGACCATAACACGACCGTCTTCGTAAGCGGATGCAACATATAGCTCCCCAGATGGGGCTATGACGAGGTTAGCCGCCATGACCATTCCGGTCTGTACGTCCGTGTCTGCTGGAATGGTGCAGATACGTCTCTCCTGTGGGAGATGAAAGAGATCGATCGCGCCAGAGTTCAGAGCATTAGGGACAGCGATAAGCACTGATGAAAGCGATGTGTTCTCTTTCGAGGAGTCACCGGCATCGCTTTCCATGTTGGCCTTATCCTGGGGAAGGGAAACCATGGAGAAGGCACAGAAATTCAGCGCATTCACAGGAAGCGAATGCACCAGCCATGGCTGGCTTGCGGCAGCTGAGGAGGTTTTCTCGATATCCACGGGGAGAGTCTTCTGAAGATTCTCCTCATCTTGGACGCTGAATCTCCATACACGTAGTTTATGGTCTCTTCCATGCCTGTAGAAAAGGTTAGATGGTTCATGGGAAGAATGGAAGGTAACACACGTGAACACCTCTGTAACAGCACCGTTTCCGAAGCTAAAACCTTTGACTTCAAGAACAGCGCCATCATGGGCCTTCCAAGTCGCTCGAGGGCGTTTTGATACTAGGTCCCATACAACAATCCATCCGTCTGCGTCTCCTGAAACGAGCCTTAGGTTCTGGTGGAAGATCTGTAGCGCGTGGATGGCAGCGGCATGGCCGCGTAAAATGTAAGTGGGGGTTGCCGGTGGTTGCCGCACCTGCGGGGATTGTGCGCTCATTTGGTGGCTCTGGTCCTCTTATTGTGTATGATATTAGTGTAGTGTGTATGATAAATCTGTTTCAGTCAGATCATTTGTTCATTTAGTTGTCATGGTACTGCCGTGCGATTGAGTGAGAGAAGATGCCGAACGGGAATTCAGAATGACTGCGGTCTTGGCAATATGTTTGGTCTCCGCCAGCATAAATGGATGTTACCAGCTACATTATATTACAGTGCGTGGGGCATCCCAAATGAGTGGTAAATAATATATTCATCTCTTGTTTCTTTTCAAGAACGTTGAAATGCTTTTCGGATTCTTAGCTATAGATTGCTGATGTAGACTAGCACTGGTCAGTATTAGCCAATCTACAATGTCAACTAGTACTATTTGGTGAAGTATCAATGTGGCAGTTGAAGCAAGATCCCGTCTGCGAACTAGAGCCGAGCCATGAGTCTTGAATAGGAATGAGATCCGTACTATCGCTTACGAAGAGCTGGCTCAAGCTCCTCAGAAACCGGTCGGTACTCGTCAAGTAAGCGACTTCCTCGCCCGTTCTGATCTTCCATGCTTCGCAATTCGACCTCCTCCGTTCGTGCAAATCTCGCCTCCATTAGCATCGCCTCATTCAACAACACTGCGGGATGCCAGATGCGAAGCACGACATTGGCAAATAACATAGGCAGCCCATCAAAAAGACACACTAGACTTTCGTACGTTAAAGAGTAACCTTGCCATTCACTCGCCAACTCAACTAGACGATAAGTGTTTCGAATCATCGTACAAGCCAAAGCAAACGCAAGCACGGTTATATTTTTGCACATCGGCCTTCTCAAGATGAGTCGATGTCTCGCTTGAATGATCAAGTATCCGAACAGTACCACGAATATACCGATAGACATGAGCTGCACAAGGCAGCCAGCGGTGAGGATATAAATCCCCAGCCTGTCTGGGCTGTTGGTAATGATGGCCTTGTACGCCAGCAAAAGCCCAGTGACCTGGACGATGAGACTAAGAACCGCAAGAGTCATACAGACATCCGTCCACCGCTTAGGCCTGAGAGGTGATCGATTTTGGGCTATGATTGCGTACACGAGGTCTAAGGCTCCGTAAATACCCATGATTGTAAAGTATGGAGCTTTTCTATGCCTTAGCCAGGTCATTCCCAATATAAGCTCATTCGACTGTATACTTACCCGACCATAAAGCTGACAGCTGTATTATCCATAGGATAAAGCTATATGGACAGCGATAAGCCAAAGTGCGGGCAAGCCATCCGATGAACTCAAATGCAGCCCCGAGTGAAAGTGCCATTCCTATCCAGGGACATATGGTGTTGCATGCTTGCGAAACATGGGTTGTTAAGACACCAAGGAAGGCAATCGTAAAAAGGATTCCAGCAGTGACAGAAGGGCGATAACCGAGCAGCGGTGCAATCACCGGATCGAATGAATAGCAGTTCCACGTTGACATGGTGTCTGGTGTGTTTATTTGAATTTTGCTCGTATTTTGGGAAGTTTCTTTGGGAGGAGAAAGTAAGAAGACACATCTTTCAATCGAGCCCGCAGATGGTAGCCTTGGTATCAGTAAAAGGCAGGTGCGTTGAGGCTGCCAGTCGCAGCAACAGCCAGGAGTAAGAAAGGAAGCTGCTCCTGGCCAACTCTCAGCCGGCAAAATGACGAGCAATTCCATCTACGGCCAGCGTAGGATGTCTAACATATGGTCGCACACTTCATTCTAGTCTCAGTTAGTGTTCAATGCTGCTTTTCACGGTGAGGTACCGCAAGGGCGTGGAGTTCTCACGAAAATAAGAGACGCTATGTGCCCTGCTCAGATTGATAGAAGGCATTAGATGTGTACGCAGAGAGCGGATGAAGAAGCACATGGAAATGAATGACCTCAGGTGTTAGAAGGGAAAGAATAGGGAGGCAAAAGGAAGGACAGAGAATCAAATCAAGATAGAGGTGTAAAGAAGAGGAGACGAAGGCAGAATACTAAAAGCAGGCAGCGAATGTCCCCTCAGAGAGACTAATAAGTGACAGTTCGCTGTAGGTAAGTAGTATCATGGCTAGATGAGGTCTGACGCTAAATTCGAGGGTCGCAATATGCAAGATGTAAGAGTCCGTTTCCACTCCCAGGAGTGCATAGATATTTCTGTCAGGCTGAGGGTGTACCAGATGACTGTAGTGATGACTTGCAAATGAACCAGTATGGCAGAGTAGTGCTAGTAGTGTGAGGTAAAAGTAAAGAGAATCCGCTCTCTAAGACTTTCAGCCGGCCAGGATATACTGTCATCATTGCAGCTTTTGACTTCATTATTCTTTCATGTTTGGATGTCGAGATAACATAGAAGTCAAAATGAACTCATAATCAACCATTGAATTGGGGAAGCCAGGAAACCAGGCTACCTCATGATGCTCCTTTCGATAGAAAATGCATTTCCGGGTCAATATGTCCCATAATGAACAACTAGAATATATGGTAGGAGCTGAAGAAGTAGAAGAACTACAAATATCCCGCAGCGGAGTGAGGATCCGCCAGTTGGCCCGGGCAACACCGCCCTCGTGATTGGCTTCAAGCTGTAACTGCTGCTCTCAATTGTCGCATCATCCCATCACCACCAATTCATTCCCCTCTCCCTCTGAGCTGTTGGTTCCTCGCCGGCCCTTCTCTCCTCCCCCTCCTCCTTTCCTTCCTTCTCCTCAATTTCCCCCATTCTCTTCATTTCCCCGTCATCCTCGCACCTACTCTACATATATCCTCTCCCTCATTCCCCACCTGGGCTCTCCACGCCTGGTGTCCGCTCCGGCGTCTAACTCCGCGACACAGCTACAGCTAAAACCATGCCGAGTGAGTCTGCTATGCTCGTGGCTCCCGCGGAGCTCCTCTGTCTCGTCTTCTTCCAAGCTAATATAATTTCTCGGTCACAACAGTCCGTCCGCTCGATGAATGGGCCGCGACCCGCACCCAGTCCCTCCCCCTCTCAGCTCTCAAAGGGGCGGTTGTCGGTATCGATGCGTCGCACTACATTTCTCAACACCTCCTCCAACCCTCCACGCGCGAGCCCCTTCTGGTCGCCCTCGGCGGCTTTCCATTCGCACTGAAGAGCAACATTGAAAGAGAACTGAAGGCCTACAAGGATCTGGGCGTGGCTTGTATTTTCGTGTTCAACGGTCTCGACTTTGGCAAAAAGGATCAACGACCCCACGTGCAGCAGGAATCGGTCCGGGCGTTCGAGCAGGCCTGGGATCTTTACGATCAACAGCAGGCGGACCAAGTGGTGGATGCTTTCAGCAGCGCCGGTATGTTTATGGTGGAATCCGACCTTTCAGAGCGTCTGGCCCTGACTGTCGTCTGTCCTAGGCACCCCTCGACCCGAGTCGCTATACCGCTTCTTGCAGCGCATACTTCTTCAACATGGTGTGGATTACATCGTTGCTCCCTATAGTGCTGCAGCTCAGGTACGATGCCACTGCCTCGGTTAGCTCCATTTGCGCCATTCTGATCTTTGTGTATTATAGCTCTCCTACCTGGCCAAGGGACCGAACCCGCTGATTGATGCTATCTGCGGCCCCTCCGAAGTGTTGATGTTCGACGTGGAAAAACTGATCACCCGCATTGAGATTGACCCGGCGCAATTTTTCTGGATCAACAAACAGACGTGTCTGGAAGAACTAGGCCGCCTATCAAATGATCAGTTCCTGGACTTTTGCCTTCTCTTGGGCTCTTCCTTCCTCCAGCCCTTCCCTGGTTTCGAAACCCATGTCTTCCCCGGAAAGAACCCTACGGTCCGAGATGCTCTGCCAATGTTCAACGCGGCAGGACGAAGCGCTCTCGCTCTCTGCGCTCAGTTTGAAGAGGATCGCCGGATGCAGGAGCTCGAGTACACGGATCGTTACAAGCGCGCATGCATGACTGTGAAACACCATGTCTATATCGATGTTGACGGCAGGGTGGGTCCTATGGACCAGGAGAATGCCTCGTCCGATATGCATGCCGTCATCGGCCTGCGCCTCCCAGAAGAGCTTTACTTCTACTTTTCCAAGGGAATTCTGGGCCCCGATGTGCCCAACTATTTGACGTCGGGTGAAGTCCTCATCTCATTGCCGTTGGGCGTCGAGGACACGGAAATTTACCGCCAAGTTGCCGGCAGCACTCTCACACCTATCCGGACTCAGTCGATTTGCCTGCTATCGAACTCCCTCCATCGGTTCTATCAGACCAAGATTATCAATGTGCGAACATGGTTTGATGAAAAATCCCCTTCGACGATCAACCTCCGAGATCTTCCTCCAGTCAAAGATTCGATCCAGTCCTGGAAGATTCCTACCGAGCAGCTTCCAGAGAGCTTGCAGAAACTGCAGGCAAGTTAAGCTTCGTTTACCATTATAAGCACTGCTAACCAAAGATCAGGGCTCGTGCGGACGCTTCCAATTTGCTGTCCAGAGCTTGAAAGATAGTGACTTTGTAGCAAAGTCCAAGGCTACGAAAGACACCAAGGTAGGCATCTTCCGTTCCAGATCGCAAGCGAGTGAGCTGACACATGCTAGCAATTATCGTCACAAGATGAGCTGCTTGCCAATGTCTTCTGGCGCTTCCTACAGCTTCGCGGCTACATTGATGAGAAACATCAGCTTACCCAGTGGGGTGTCTGCCTTGAGCAAGCATTGTCGGGACTTGATCCGGCGGATGCGCTTGAGGAGCCAACATTCCTTGCCATTGAGATGATCCGGTTTGGCCTACTTAACTCCAAGCAGTGGTTCTCTCATGTTTCCGGAGGGCCTATGAGAGGATCAGGTAAGAATGAGGTTTCTGTAGCTATGAACGGTGCTGATTTATTCCACCCAGACGAGGATAAGAGCCTCAACATGCTTGTTTCCCGCCTTGCTTGCATCGCCAAACTCCAGCACAAGAGCATCGGTTATTCTGGACCCCTGAGCCGACAACTGCTTTGCTACCGATCCCTAATTTCCGAGGTTCGTTCTACGCTACGGACGCTCATCGAGGTGGTTCTGGCCAGTCTGCTCCTGAGCGGCGATGCTGACCGGGAGCGAAACGATTGGGGCGAACTGAGCATCAAGTAAGTGGACATGTAATGATGCGCCATGTGATGTGATCTGACGCAATATAGGCTTCCGTTCATCGACGACAACGACTGCGGTCTTGGAATTGCTGTCCGTACCTACCTTGATGATCTGCCCTTGCAAGCAGATCCTACATCGCCAGAGGCGCGGGCAGAAGTGAAATCGAAGGGCAAGGAATGGTTCCAGCATAGCGACAGCTTTACAGGCAACCTGGACATGGCGTTCAAGCTGTGGGATGCGGTGAGTCTCAACTGTCTATCTTTGCCGGCGTATTTACTCATCTACTTTCTAGGTATACCGTGGTACGCAGAGCGCAGGCAAGGAACTTAAGGAGGGCAAGCAGTGGGAGGATGCGAACCGCTGGTTGGCCGAGCGGCGGTAAGGGACTTGTATAGAGTATCCTCCTAGAACCAGAGGAAACACTACTTGTCCACGATTTCACGAACCATGGCAGTCGTGCGGCTGGGTGGTCTAGGAGACCACCTGAAAGCTTCGCCCAATTCTACTCCAACCACGTTGTATAATTAGGAATGGAAGGGGCTGGCAGGCGCTACACCAGTATTACTATCCCCCAGCGTAGTCAGAACCTGCAAAGAGAGCGTAGTGGCGAATGCAACGATATATTTAGCCGTAAAGCCGCTGATCGAGTTGGAGTTGATTAGTGATGCTTAACTTACCAAGTGTCCTCTTCCGACCCGCTCGGTCTCCGCAGCGCTTCCGCCTTTCACGTCGGAAGCTCATACGACTATATCTACACTCCGCCCAGCAACCAACCCTTCCTCGCTGAACGGACAGACCTGGTATTGACAAGTATATTGTCAATCGCCCTACTTCAGCCTTTCCTTCAACTACAACAACACCACCCATCATGGTCCGTCTCAGCAACCTCGTGAGCTGCCTCGGCTTGGCCTCCGCGGTCACCGCAGCAGTGGTCGATCTCGTCCCCAAGAACTTCGACGACGTTGTCCTCAAGTCCGGCAAGCCCGCTCTGGTTGAATTCTTCGCTCCCTGGTGTGGTCACTGCAAGAACCTTGCGCCCGTGTATGAGGAGCTGGGCCAGGCATTCGCCCACGCCTCCGACAAGGTCACCGTCGGCAAGGTTGATGCGGACGAGCACCGCGACCTGGGCCGCAAGTTCGGCGTGCAGGGATTCCCCACGCTGAAGTGGTTCGATGGAAAGAGTGATGAGCCGGAGGACTACAAGGGTGGTCGTGATTTGGAGAGTCTGTCTTCGTTCATCTCTGAGAAGACGGGCGTCAAGCCCCGTGGACCTAAGAAGGAGCCCAGCAAGGTGGAGATGCTGAACGACGCGACTTTCAAGGGTGCTGTTGGTGGTGACAATGATGTTCTGGTTGCTTTCACTGCGCCGTGGTGTGGACGTGAGTATTCCAGCTTTACTATCACATTCAAGGGGATTGTTTACTAACGCCGACGCTGAACTACAGACTGCAAGAACCTCGCTCCTACCTGGGAGGCTCTGGCCAACGACTTCGTCCTCGAGCCCAACGTTGTGATCGCCAAGGTCGACGCCGACGCTGAGAACGGCAAGGCCACCGCCAGAGAGCAGGGCGTGTCCGGATACCCCACCATCAAGTTCTTCCCCAAGGGTTCCACTGAATCCGTTCCCTACGAGGGTGCCCGCTCCGAGCAGGCCTTCATTGACTTCCTCAACGAGAAGACCGGCACCCACCGTACTGTTGGCGGTGGTCTTGACACCAAGGCCGGTACCATTGCCAGTCTGGACGAGCTGATCACCAGCACTTCCGCTGCTGATCTGGCTGCTGCGGTCAAGAAGGCTGCTACTGAGTTGAAGGACAAGTACGCTCAGTACTACGTCAAGGTTGCCGACAAGCTGAGCCAGAACGCCGAGTACGCCACCAAGGAGCTTGCTCGTCTGGAGAAGATCCTGGCCAAGGGTGGATCGGCCCCTGAGAAGGTCGACGACCTCATCTCCCGCAGCAACATCCTTCGCAAGTTTGTTGGTGAGGAGAAGGAGGCCAAGGATGAGCTGTAGATATTGTATGGATATGACTTGTTTAGCTAGGTGACGGTCACCTAGATTCTATTACTCTGTATGATATCGAGAGGCAGTTACGAGAATGTTATCGATGCGAACAGTACACTATCCATCTTATGTGCATGTAGTAAATATAATTATCAGTAAAAGGGTATCTTCAATTCCACCTCAAACCACCACAACCCAGCCGTATGTATCACCCCCTAATCCACAGACAACAAATGAGAGCTCCCCCAAGTATACACAAAATATGCAAATCCCATAACACCATAACCCCATTACCAAACAGTATAAACAGTACTCAATCACTTCTCAGGACTCCCACTCCCACTTCCAACCGCACTCTCTACCACGGACCCCGTCTGCGACGCACCACCACCACCTGCTCCCCCGGACGTAGTCGTCCCATCCACCACCGTAAACGAAGCCTCTAACTCATCCAACCGTCTGGCCATATCGTCCACTGCACAGAATACCAATATACATCAGCATTGCGATCACTCCCACAGATCAACAGGTACAAAGGGGGGAGATGTATGAAACGTACACTTCCCAAACATCTCCCTCGAAACACCATCGAATTTATGTTGTAGCTGGTCGAGGAGATCGTCCACGGCGGCGGAGAATTGGCCTTGTGCGTCGGGGTTCTGGTATTATCATGGTTAGCTGCGCTGGTTTATTGGTTGGTTGTGCCAGTGTAGTTGGATTTGCACTGGGTAGGGAGGGGGTAAGACGTACTTGGGTTGAGGTTGTTGGTGGGGGAGGGACGGCTTCGGCGGTGGGATCGGACATTTTGGATTGTTCTGGTATTATTTTTTGGGTGGTTGGTTGGGTTGGTTGATATGAATTTGAGGTTTGTGGGGCGTGTGAGTGGTATTTGGTAAAGTAGGGTGGTTTTGTATATATGGTAGTAGGGAGAGGGAGTATAGTATGAGTATGAGTATAGGAGGTAAGGTAACTAAGTTTAATGATGGTGATATAAGATGGGTTAGTATGATGGCAATGCTGCATGCCGGATTGGGTATGGTGTCATGCGTTTACGGGGATGGAGGGCTTGGCGTTAGGCTGTGTGTGTGCCTGAGGCAGTAGTTTTGGTGGTGGTTGTATAGATTGTTGGGTAGTTGTGAAGTTGGTATATTATAGTGAAAGTTAGCATTGGGAATACGATATAGTAATAGACAATTTATTGTTTGGTTGCACTGCACCTTGGAACTGTCCTCGGTGAATGCAATTGTCTCTGAAGTATAAATGCGTCATGTCCCGCGGTCTGCATTGGCGGGTGTTTGCTGGTATTTTTGTTTTCAAGTACTCTATTTGGACCCCTTTTTCCAAGATAACGATGTATTAAGATGTCATGTGTGACTGTAGTAGTGGGGGTTTCCTGTATTATTCTTCAACTAGTAGTAATAATTAGTGCGAGCATGGTTTCTGTGGCATACTAGTGCTAGTATATATCTTTGCATGCAACTGAACATATGATCTAAATCCCATGACTGACATACACATAATGACCGCATTCATGATACATGCAGTTGCTAGTCACAAATATAATTAGCATATATGTGTATCAAAGGAACGGGCTTCCTGCTGATATATACTGCTGTACACCATCAATGGAGTTTGAAGGATGCCTGGTGAGCATTATATGACTTATGTGAATGACAGAAATCAGTGATAAACAAATCTCAATTCTATGTCCACATAACCGAATGGTAGCTATGCAATTGCAAGACAGTAGTGGGGCTTACCCTCTTCATTGATTCATATCTCAAACCCTCTCACAGCACTCACTTTGTACCAATGTAGACAGAGTCGAGCACCCTGTTTCAAGTATGCTCAAAATTGACTATAAGAAAAATAGAAGCGTCTGTAACTTCTAGCCTCAAACGTTATCAGTTGTAGCATAGTCAACTTCAGTCAGTATAAAGTCGACCCTACATAACTCTGCAGAACACATCCTCGGCAACAGCATACTACCTAATACAAACGAAGCAGCAATCCACCAGCCGAATTGGCATTTCAAATCGATTCACCGACGTTTAATCATGCCATTGGACCCGATTCGATCGATAGCCGATAGCCACGGCCGCGGACCCGAAGCCTGAGGGTTTAGTGGGCCAATGACTGTCTCATCGGCTCGACCCGCATTCAATGTATTGCAGCTGTCTGATAACGTCGCTTCCATTTAAATATAAAGTCGTAATCTCCACCTTTTTTCAACAGTCAGTTCTTTCACTTCCTTGATCACCTTAACTCCATATACATACAGCATAGACATAGCACCATGTCCGACGTTGGCCCTCCCATCGACCTCCCCGTGCTGGACATCTCCAACCCCCTCGATCCCGAGGCGGGGAAGGCCCTTCTGGCTGCTGCCACCAAGTATGGCTTTTTGTATGTCGACAGCCGGGGGACCGACTTTACAGCTGCGGAGGTGGATCGTGCATTTGAACTGGTATGTCCCCATAGTCTGTCGATAACGTATACTAATGTATGAAATTACAGTCCAAGAAATTCTTCGCCTCCCCAGTTGAAGAAAAGGCCGCTTGTCGCATTGAACCCAACGTTCGTGAACTCCACCATCTACAGCCATAAATATCACAACTGATAAACCCTACTTAGAACCGCGGCTGGTCCGGCATGCACTCCGAGACCCTGGACCCTGAGCATCAACGCGTAAGCAAACCAATCCCCCATCTATCAACATAGTATACAACTCACTCACTAACCACCACACAGACCGGCGACTTCAAAGAGTATATCACCCACCCACCTATACCCATCACCAGCATAATTACCACCACCAACTAACCACCCACCCACTCTAAAACAATAGAGCCTTCAACTTCGGCGAATTCACCCAATCCAACAAAGCCCAACAACCTCTCCCAGCATCCCTAACCCCTCACGAGTCCGAAATCGCCCACTTCGCCTCCCTATGCAACATAACCTGTACTCGGATCCTCACCCTCCTGGCCTTAGGACTCGGCGTAAGCCCTTCCATCCCCCATTCCCTCCCAACATCACCACCACCAAAGACCAATACCAACATAATTAACGAAATAAATCCAGATCCCCCCCACATTCTTCACCACCCGCCACGACCCCACCACAGGCCCAACAGGAAGCATCCTCCGCTACCTCTTCTACCCGAGCATAACCTCCCCATTAACCTCCACCTACAGCCACAAGAAGGACGTCCGAGCCGGCGCTCACAGCGACTACGGCTCCATCACGCTCTTGTTCCAGCGTCCCGGACAACCGGGGCTGGAGATCCTCACGCCGGATGGGAAGGGGTGGGCGCCCGTTCCTGTGATTCCCACCACCTCCTCCTCCGAAGGAGGGGAACAAGGAAAAGGAAAGGGGGGTGAATTCCCCTTCCCACCCATCCTAGTCAACATCGGGGATTTACTCAGCTACTGGACGGACGGATTACTGAAAAGTACGGTGCACAGGGTGGTGTTCCCTACGTCGGAGCAGCAGAGGCCCAACGCGCAGGATCGGTATAGTATTGTGTATTTTTGTCATCCGTTGGATCGGACGGAGTTGGTGCCCGTGCCGAGTAAGGTTGTGGAGGAGTTTAGGAAATCTAGGAGTGAGGAGAAGGAGAGGGGAGAAGGAGGGGTCAGGGTTGGGTTTGGCGGTGGGGCGGGGATGTTGGAGGAGGGGAAGAGGGCGTTGACGGCGCAGGAACATTTGATGGCGAGGTTGGATGCTACGTATGGGTTTCGGAGGGGGGAGAAGGAGGGGAAGGATGAATGAATGAAGATTACAGTAGGATGATTATTCAAGGTCTAGAATGGTGGTGGTGGTGGTGGTGGTGAAGTGTCAAGTGAATAAGTACTAGATCAATAGCCACCGCGCAATTCATAGGGAGGCCACTCGTGTATGCACAGGTTCCAAAGATGCACAACAACCCAACTAATACTGGATCGGGCTCGGCCCCAGCCCGATTCTTAGTAACAAGCAATAGAGGTAAATCACAATGCCCAAAGAAATCGCTTCCAGAAAGATTGTGTGGGGGGAGAGGTGGTTCACAATGCTAGATAGGTAGGCTGCTACTCACAAAGGAAAATCGTTGGGCGTCAGGACGGGGAGGAACTAGGGGCTCGAACAGTGACAGAGAGGAAAAAGATGATGAAGACAAAACAATCCAAGGAAGAAAGTAGGTAGCAAAAGGTGCACGCATTCATGACCGCTAGTATCAATCCATATGACCGGGAATCAGGCTTTATGCCCCGCGTTAATCAAACAGGTGAGAAATCGAAATATGATGATGAAATAAAATTCGACGACATACAAGAGGTATCTTTGGGATGAAGAGCAACGCCGCCAGGTTTTGAAATGCCATGCACGGGTAGACGTGAAACCCTCGGAAACGAAACGGAATGACGAAATGGTAACAGATGACAGATACGACGCTATGCAAGCCGATATGCATTAGAGGTATTAAACAGTTTCATGCGTTCATATCATGGCGTGGTGTGGCACCAGTGACGATGGTACACCCACGCTGCCTTCTGGCAGTCTTTGCTGCAGTACTTGGTGCGCCGGCAGCGCCGGCACTTGGCAAATTGTCGCTGGAATTCCTCCCACTTGCCACACTTATAGTATGCGCACTGCCGGATGCCGCCGCGCGACTCGTCCTTGCGGCAGAGATTCCGCATCACCACACATGCCCAGTATTGCATGTCCTTGGAGTGGTGGCGAACCGTGAATTTCTCCACCAAGGGGAAGATGTTGACATCGTCCGGGAGCAGGTATTCATCTTCCTCCTCCGGAGGTTCGATGGGCGACACGCCCTCCTCCAACATTTGGAGCTCACGGTCAACCTTGAGCTTAGGAACGAGGTGGGAGTGCTGGAAATAAGAGCGCAGGTTGCAGTACTTGGAAACATATGCGAGTAGCTGAAGCGACATAAGGACATCTTCGTCCTTGGGCATCGTCGTCAAGACGCCCTGCACCGCTGTGGTTGATCGGTCACGCACATACAATGAGTATGGGCTGGGAACAACAGCAGGCGAGTTGGCAGTATTGGGGGCTTGCGTGGGTGAGAGGCCCAAGGCCCCGTTCGTGCGTGTTGCGTCGTTGTTGATCATGCTGCCATCCACGGTAGAACGGTGAGTGATGTTGAAGGTCTCGGCTTCCTGGCTTTCAGAAGTATCATTGACAGTCAAGTCGTGCGTGTTGGAAACACCTTCCAGCACAGTTTGCCTGTCGCCGTCATCATCGATCTCCATACGGTTTTGAATACCAACGATCGGCTCAGCAGTCTCTCCAGAACCCGGGTCGTCACCCAGAGTCGAGCCCTCGCCGTTTCCATCATCAGACTCACCGGAGGCTGATTGCTGTTGCCTCAGGGTAGGCCGTGGTCGGGCGGAAGGGGCTTGTGTGTTGCTGCGCAGCTGCGCAGGACCGCTGGGAGTGGTTGGGGAGTCAGGCTGAGACGCAAGGCCGTTCTGGAAACCAGGTAACATGCTGGGAAGCCTCTCTGTGTCGCGCACGGGGCGTAGGCCAAAGCCATCAGCTGCATCCATGGGAGGAAGGGCCGTGGCAAGGGGCTGCATCGCCCGGTAGCGGTGAGCAGCATGGGCATAGCGGGTATCATTGGATCTAAGATTGTGGGCATCCTGTCCAAAGGTGCTCCGTTCCGGAGGGGAGGTCACAGGCACCCGAGGGGACGATGTGATGTCCATGGCGTTCGAATCCGAGGCATGGCTGTCTTGGTAGAAAGGGGGGATTTCAATGTGAGGCGGTGGCGCCTGGCGGCGAGAGGGACGTTGCTCGGTGTTCGTCGATTGGTCCACATACACTGGAC